GACCATGATAATTTGATTTTTCTGTAGTTTACAGTCTGACTTCTTCCCAAGACATAAAACATGCAAGTCAATTATTAAAACATTGTAAGGTAATTGTTTTAATGGAGATATGTCCAAACTCAATTAGGAGTATAACTGAAGGACCATAAAAAGAACCTCTAGGTTCTTCTAAGGCAGTGAAGAAAGACATTGCAGAAGAGGCATCATTTGATCTGAGACTTGAAGAATATGCAGACGATTGCAAGGCAGAAGTGGCTATGTTTGAGCAACAGGGGGGAAACATGGTAGAGAGTCAGATAGAATGGATCAGAGATTGTAGAAGGGGGTTCTACCTGACAGATATAAGTGTATGGTCTATTCCAGTCCCTACATAAGCTTCATATTGTTGGAGTGTATGCTGTGTGTGACGGAGGAGAAAAGGAGGGGGCTAGGCAGGAAGGCAAGGACTAGATTGGAACGACTTTGTAAGGTATATTTTAAAGAAACACACAGAAAGAGAGAGCAGCATAATAAAAAGAGTTCAATACAAGGCAGAGTCATTGGCGATTTGGATCAGCAAAGAGCCAGGGTCAGATGTCCATGTTAGAGAGATCACTGTTGACCATATTGAGGAGGAGAGAGGAGAGGGAAGTGAGGTTAGATGATGGCAATAAATAGCTTGGGGAAGTGATGATGCAGACCAAAACTAGGGAAGAGAAAGTGTGACCGGGATATGAGAAATAATCAGGATTATAAAAAAGATACAGTAGTAGATTAAGTTAGGAGTGTGTGTGTGTGTGTGTGTGTGTGTTTATACATGCGGGTGTGTTCAGGGAATAGATAGGCAGGGGAAAGGGAGAGAGAGAGGCCTGAAAGGTGTTATCCTGACATGGGCAAAAGAAAGTTGAGGGCCTGCTCCCAAAGATGAGTACAAGAGGAGCTCTCGCCCCTTATCTGTTCTTGTCTCATGGCCACAGCCAATTCTGCCTGGTGATGGAGACACCCATTCAACAGTTATTGATTATGTATTAGGCCCTCTACCAGACCATAAACCCCTGGGACACAAGAGACACACACTGTTCATCCCAGGATACATCATCGATTAACCTCACAGAGCTTTACACGTTGAAGGTGCTTAGAAAATAACTAATGGAAAAATAACCACATAAAAAGACTGCTACAGAGATTTAAGTCTCAGAAAAAAAAAGATATATTTATATATCTGTATGAGTGTAATTTTTAAATGTGCTTGATTTTCAAAATGAAAATGTTAAATCATGATAAAGCTTCAAGGATTCCTGCAAAAACAAAAAGAAATGAAATGCCAAAAATAAATACTTGGAAGCGCCAACTAATCCTGTAAGTAGAAAAGATTCACTATGTATTTAGTTGAATATGTGGGCCAGGAAAGTGTTGCCATAGCTTTCTTTAACCATGAAGAACATAAATAAATATGCTTTAAAATGGTTTCTGTTCTTTACCCCTTCCACCTCCAGTGAGGTAGAGGATGTAAAATTGCAGGGGAAAAAATATAGCTAACTGTGCTATTTTCACACACATAGTCAGAAACTTGCAGGCACATACACAGCAGAATTCTTAATAAAGTTATGAGAACCCTCGCATCCCCCGAAGAGAGCTCTACTAGTGAGATGTTTCCTAGAAGAAAGCGATGGCTTCTCAAATCGTGCCCTCATGCCTTTCTTCAAAGACTTTAAGAATGTTTGAAGTGTACGTGTGTGTTCATTCTCCAAGAAAGAGAAATAGAGAAATTTGTTGAAAAGAGTTGCTTCTAAGGAGTCAGTTCTCTATTAATTCTTTTTGGTTTGCTCTATGAATGTGATTAGTTTTCATTTTCAAAACATGTGACTTTTCAAGTATCTGTTTTGGGGGCAGAATTCTTTGCAGCTGCACAGTCTGCCTGTCATTAGCCCAGTTGCCCAGTCACTGTCTCCATTTATAGTTGGGTTTGTAAAGTGTTCAAAATAGGAACTCTGGGTTTCTGCTGATCTTGAGTCATCAAGGAAATGCAAAGCTTTATTTCTTCTTGTATTCAATTCATCCGTGCTGACATTGTTGAAGACTGACATGGTTGGCTAGAGAAATCTGACCGTACATTTTTTTCTAAGTTTGGGCTGACTCTGCCATGCTCTCTACTACAGAATGTCAGGGTCTTAACTGAATATTTATTTAGGAATTTCTTCAGGATATATATTTTAATAAGTTGCTTAATGAGGAAACGTTTCTTTCTAGTGGGTGCTATTGGGGCCACCTTCATGCTGAAAGGAAAGCCTATTACACCAAGACAAGAATCTTCAGGTTGCTTAAATTACAGAAGTAAATGGCAGGTTTGCCCCCTGAAAGGCTAGTATCAAAAAGGAAAAATAGATAACTGTGTTCAACAGCCTCCTGTAACTTAACCGAGAACTAAATCTAGAATTACAAAATCCCTAGGAGACTACAGTTGAAACAAATGATATGTGAAAAAAGTAGCTGTAACAGTCAGGATCCCAACAGAAATGATAGCACCCTGAAACCATTTCCTCCCAAGAAGCTGATTTATAAATGCGTTGTGTAAACAGGCTCATTTGGGCACAGAGAAGCCGTAAGGGACTGAGAGATAATCTGAGGCTAGCAGGGTCAGAGCTCTAGGCTCCAGGGAACCAGGGGAGAGAGTAGGTTTTTGAACCAGGAAGGAGAGAGTGTTGTAGAGGAGAGATCCAGTAGTAGGATCCTACGCTGATCCTAGAGGACCAGTGACCTCCTAGGCTGACAGCTGGGAACTTCACAATCAGATTGACAGAAGAAATGTGACCCAAGAGTGTATCAGTGTCTCCCAAGAGTGTATCAGTGCCATCTTGGATCTGATAATCATGTGTTTTGCCCCCTACCTATTCAATGATAATAGCATCCCCTAGTCACTTTGACAATAAAAAATATCCGTACTCATTTCCAAACTCCCCTGGTCAGTATTTGGTTTCCTCTCTAACTGAGAACCACTGTATGTTAACCAAATGTCCCTGGCAATGTTGTAATCTTAATCTCTGGATCAACCTAGATCACTGTTAGAAAGCTATATATTTAAATCAGTAGACTTGTATATTGCGGTGGGGGCAAGATGGCTACACACTGTCTACAGCCCCCCGTCCACATTCCAGGCAGAAAAGAAGAAAAAGACAAAGTAGGAATGGATGATGCTTGTGTCAGGAGAGCCCTGCTTTTCCCAGAAATGCTAAGTGGACATCTCCTTGGCCAGAACAGTGTCACCTGGCAAGTCCTACCTACAAAGTAGTCTAGGGAAGTATTTTAAGTGAGTGCACTGCTGGCCTGAACAAAATTGAAGTTCTTTGAGTAATGAGGAAGGGGAGTGGGTACAAGGAAGCAGTCAGCAGCATCCGTCCCGCAGGTATACATCTATAGTGGCTTGCTGTAGATAAATGAGACTAGAGTAATATAAAGTCTTGCATCCTTTCTTCCTATACATACTAGTATTTGCTTGGAAATCAATAAACAGCAAAATTAGGGTGTAGTCATTCATTTGTTGTATCAACAAATATAATCATAGTAACACAGAGCAAAATTAAAGCATTCTGTTACTGGTATATATGCAGATCCCTAATAGACTAATGCCTGAGGATGAACATTTGAATCACCAAGCCTTCCCTAAGCCTTTACTTATCTCCAGCCTAACCAAGGCCTCGTAGTTTGGCAGCAAGGTCTTTACGTCTTTGTGTCCTCAGGACTTTGTTAAGACTTTCAGTAAGTATTTCTGAGTTGAAGGAATGAATGGAACAGAAATCAGGAAGCTATAAAAGGAGGAAGAGGCTGCATTTGAGTTATCACTGGTAAATCACTCTCTGATGGGAATCTTTGATCTAAAACTTAGCTCTCTTTGGTTTTGCCAGAGATGTTTGTTTCTCTCAACACCCTACTTGGCTTTTTTTGTTCCTTCTACTCAGTCCTCCAGCTCTCTTTCTCTAGTTCCTCCTTTTAGCAGTATGGTGAGTAAGTCTTTCGATAGTTTGATTGAGATAGAATTTTTCAATTTATCTATTTTCTTTTATTGCTAGTGATTTTGGTGTTATATGAAAAAAATCATTGTCAAATCTAATGTCACGAAGTTTTTCCACTATGTTTTCTTCTAAGAGTGTTATAGTTTTAGCTCTTATATTTAGAGCTAAAATTTTGGATGACTTTTTGTATATGGTATAAAGTAAGGGTTCAACTTCATTCTTCAACATGTGGATATCCAATTTTCCTAGGACCATTTGTTGAAAAGACTGTCTTTTTCTCATCAAATGGTTGTGGCACCCTTGTCAAAAATCAGTTGATCACAGATATGAGGCTTTGTTTCTCGGTTCTCTGTTCTGTTCCATTGGTCAATGTGTCTGACTTTATGCCACTACCACACCGTTTTGATTATTGTAGCTTTATAATAAGTTTTGAAATTGCAATGTGAGTCCTGCAATTTTGTTCTTCTTTTTCAAGATTGTTTTGGCTATTTAGAGTCTCTTGAGATTCCATATGAATTTTAGGCTAGATTTTTCTATTTTTGCAAAAAAGTGCCATTGGGATTTTGATTGGGATTGCATTAAATCTGTAGATTGCTCTGGGTACTGTTAACATCTTTACAATAGTAAGTCTTCCAACCCATGAATGTGAGCTGTCTTTCCATTTATTGTGTCTTCTTTATTTATGCAAACTTTTATAATTTTCAGTGTACAAGTCTTTCACTTTTTTGGTTAAGTTTATTCCTAAGTATTTCTTTTTTCTTTTTGATGTTATTGTAAATTGGTTTGTTTCCTTAATTTCTTTTCCTGGTTTTTCATTGCTAGTACACAGAAACAGAACTGATTTTTGTGTTAGTCTGTGAACTCTTAGAGGGCAGGAACCGTGCCTTATTTGTATTTTGCAAAGTTAATACAAAAATAATAATAGCACTTACTAATATTTGTTCATTTACGTATTTTTATTTTTCATTGGCAGTAATCTTTGTCCTTTTTTTTCTCTCTCTCCCACCTTAGGGCTCTACTAGTTCAACAGCCTCTCCTCCAGTCTCCACCCCTGTCACGGGACACAAGAGAATGGTCATACCAAACCAACCTCCTCTAACAGCAACCAAAAAGTCTACATTGAAACCACAGCCTGCACCCCAGGCTGGGCCCATCCCCGTGGCTCCAATTGGAACCCTAAAACCCCAGCCTCAGCCAGTCCCAGCCTCCTACACTACGGCATCCACCCCTTCAAGGCCTACCTTCAATGTGCAAGTGAAGTCTGCCCAGCCCAGTTCTCATTACATGGCTGCCCCTTCACCAGGACAATTTTATGGTCCAGGGCCAGGGCCCCAGGGCTATAACACTCAACAAGTTCCTATCTCTGGGCAGGGCCCACCTCCTTCAACCCGGGGAGGCATGGATTATACATATATTCCACCACCAGGACTTCAGCCTGAGCCTGGGTATGGGTATGCCCCTAACCAAGGGCGCTATTATGAAGCCTATTCCCCAGCAGGGCCTGGCTATGGGGGCAAAAATGACTCTGATCCTGCCTATGGTCAACAAGGTCACCCAAATACCTGGAAGCGGGAACAAGGCTACACTCCTTCTGGAACAGGGAACCAGAACCCTGCTGGGATGTATCCAGTTGCTGGTCCTAAGAAGACCTATATTACAGATCCTGTTTCAGCCCCCTCTGCACCACCACTGCAAGCAAAGGTAAGAAACTCATTAACATAGTGTTAGAAATAAAGGGACACCTGTCTTGGCCTGTGTTCCCCAGAAATCAGAGGCTAAGGCAAAAGCATATGTGCTACTTTTATTTTATAGAAAGTGTAATCCCGTGGAAACATGAGTGAAGCTGGAAAAGGGGGAGATCCTATTTGGGGATCTGGGGCTATGTTACCAATATGTCCACTCTTTAGTATCAAGTGCAACTAATTGTTCAATCTTGAAGGATCATCTTCCAAAAGACTATGTAAATCGTAGCAGCTCAGGATAGTCTTGTTCGGGGGGAGGAAGGGAACATAAAGTATCATCCAGTTCTTGTCTCCTATTGGTCAAAGCTTCCCTCTGTGGATCAGAAACTTACTCACACTTAGATAGTGTATTTACTTGGTGCTAAATAGATCTGTAGCATCTCATGCCTCAGCAGGGACAGGAAATCCGCAAATCTGGAGGTGAGAGGTGTGCAGGGCAACATGAGGTGAGCTGCTGTCAGGTTCGGCTCGTGTGAAGGTGGTCAGAACCCAAGCAAAGTTGGTACCACAGGGGCTGCTGGGGCAGAACAAGTGGCCAGGGCCCAGGAGACACATGAACAAGGGGACCTAAGAAAATACAGGCACCTTGTCTAGTTCTTTGGTGAAGGGGCCACAGTATGATGGCACTTGTTTATTACCCCTTGTTTATCCACATTAGTGATCCTCCAGGAAGAATCTTATTCTCCAGGCTTTAACCTGGAGGGGCAATCATTAAAATTATTAGGCAATTTAAAAAACACTTTTATGAGAGTTATCTTTTTTGTTGTTTGATTTCATTGCAAGCATGTATGTCTTTGAAGTCAACACATTCAGTTACTTCCTATGAATAGGTAAGATATAATACTACACAGACCTACTCACTTATGACTTAGATTTTCCATGACAGTAATAGAACCAATATGATAATCTTTTCTCCTACCATGACAAGAAGAACCAAGGAGAGTTAATTGCAAAGGGTGAGATGGAGAAACCAAGCTAGTTTCCAGCCATTGGTTTGGAACTGAGTCCTCCTTGCCTTTTAGTTAGAGCTGTGAGAAATCAAAGATTGAGGAACACTTGATTAGCTAGAAGTTGAGGGGTAATTTGGGGAGATGGGTTGGATAGAAGGTTGGGCTACACACTTTTTTTTAATCCTTTACACATTTGAAATTGTCAGTTTACAGACATATCCATTCACATTTTCAGCATTTTAACAAAAATTTGTCAGGTCCTTGCTCTCTGAATAAGGTGTTTACTAAACCACTATTCTCACATGAAAGCATCTGCTCTGTTAATGGTACTCCAAATGAGTTTTGGTTCCTTAGAGGAAAAGAACCCTTCCCAGCAAGTGGGGCCCATGAGTAGGTGGAGGCATCCATCAACCTTATGAACGCCCAGTACATGAAAGTGGGCTCGCCATGATCATTTCCAACATAGAAATTCCAAGTTAAAGTGTTGTGTTTTCGAAACATTACTCTTAGAAGGCCTTTCTTTCCAAAATCTCTTTCTGAAAAGAAATATTATTAAGGGTTTTTTTGTTTTGTTTTGTTTTGTTTTTAAATAAAGTGTCTCCAAAACAGCTAAGCTGGACAGTTTTGCCGTTTGTTAACATTATAGTATATTTTCATTAGTCCCTCCTGGCCCCAAAAACAACCAGTTCAGAAAAAATGGAGTTAGTCAACTTTTTCTTACTTTGCTACAACCGCAACAAATTCCCCTACTTAAATTAGATTAAAAGTTTAGTTTGGGATAATTGCCATCAACGCAACTTCAAAGAGGTATGCAGTTTTGCCCTTTCCAAAGCAGCCTGACTGACAGGATGGCTGAGTGATGTTCCTAAGGGAAAGAGATGGGCCCTGAGTTGTTTTAAGGATCCCGTCACCCCACCTGGGGAAACAGACATGGGACAGTGCAAACGAGCGTCTAGGTGGAGGGAATAATATAGTGAGAAGTACTGAGACAGTCTTTGTGTTTCTTGTTTTCCCATCAAGTCACTGGGCACTCTGGATGGTCTCTCTTCAACATTTGGAACCAATCTAGTGGTGCAGGAAAAAGAATTAGCAAGACCTAGATCTAAGATGTTAGGTCCAGCCACATCTCTAGCATTTGGTCTGTGTTCACCAACCTACTCAGGGTGATGAATGAACTTTTATTAACCACTCACCAGAAAGCATGAAACTTTATCTTCCTTTTTATTAGAGTAATTATCCAAGATGATCGATTATATTTTTAAGGATTCTGGATATCAGTGAATTTCATGTCATTTTTTAAAAATTTTGAAATATTTGTTTCTCCACAGCGTCATGTGTTTTAACATCATATTGTGCATTTTAAAAATGAAAATCAAATCATGTACTTTTCACTGCAGATATTAAGGAGAGTGGTTAGAGGTTGATATTTAGCCATCTGTCTGTGTTTGGGGAAAGGGGAAAGAGGCTGACGAAGCTACAGATTGTGTGTGTGTTGTGGAGGCATTGGTGGATGAAGGGGTGGGCTCTTCCACAGTTGGTCTTTGAGCAGAACAATGCCGTATTCAACTGCACCTGTGCACAGAGGACCTTATTGTCCCAATATTGACTCTGCGTGGCTTAATGATGTGACTACTGGCTTGAGAAATGAGCTCCTAATTCTAAGCCCAGTTCCGCCATTGACATTCCTCTTTCAGCTTGAGGAAAGCCTCTCGACCTCTTTCTGTCACGTTTCTAGCCTCAGTAAAGTGTAATGTCATCCTTGCTAATTAATTAATGATTGCAAAGAGCTTGGAAATTTCCAAGGGCTGAGTAATTGCCAAGTGAGGACTATTCAGCTTTTTCACTGGCTTCCATTTATTTCCAATCTTTTAGTCACTGATGGAAAACTTACCTTCGTGCCTTAAAACAATTATCTTTTGTTACATTGAGATGTTCTAAGGAATTTGGCATTTAACCCATGAAGGAAAAAGTTTTAAAAAAATGAAACAAATGAATCTCCCCTATATTTGAGATGAGCTGCTTTCATTTTCCCACATCATGGGGGGCTCGTGATTGTATTTGTCTCCCATGATGTGCTGAGCAGGGAATTTGCATGCTAATTGACCATAATATGTTTCCTGTACCATCTGAGCTGAGTTCCTTGAAACATATTGTTAAAAGCAAGTCTTTATAAGAGAGAAATGTTCTCTTCTTACTGGAAATCCACTTAAAGACACAGTAGAATCTTTCCTCTTTGCTATTTATATAAAAGCTAATATCTGCTAGTTGCTGTGCAGTTCACAGAACTCTTGTCTTTTGTGTTATCTTCCCATCCCTGTGAGGTGGGATATGTATTTTCTCCAATATTCAGATGAGGTGAGTTAGCTTGAAAGCCCCAGAGCCAGGACCTGGAGGCCAGTCCTCACCCTCATGTCCACAATGGCAGGGCAGTTTTAGCACTCATGTCTTTGTCATGAACCTAATCTATGTCAGCCTCAGTTCCATTGAAGAGACAGGTGTTTGCTCTGTAGTGTGTGAAGAGCACAGGTGCTGTGATCTCAAGAAACCTGTAGAGGCCCACCTAGTGTAGGGGTTAGGTTAAATTTTAAAATCATCTGTTATTAAAATTTCCTTGGAAAATCCTTCAGGAAGGTGAGACCTTGGAGATCAACAAAACACCTTTCAATAAATCTAACACAAAGCTTTTCTTATCCAAAGTTAGAACAGATCACTGCTTTTCATTTAGTTTTTGAATCTGGGGGATATTTAATGGGTCAGAGAAGAGAGTAAAAGTAATGAACTGCCGGAGTCAGTGTTGAAGGGTCCCCAAGACCTGTAAATTGTTATGATTAAGAAAATATTTGAGAATGTTGACATAGTAGCATTTCAAACATTCAAGTAATATCAAAATGTTTAAATTTTTTATTGTGGAAAAGAGAGGGGTGTATTTATTAGGTGTACTGCAGAGAATTGGTGGCATTTTGGAGAGAACTATCTGTGGTAATCCTTGTGCCAAATATCTCTCAATTTCAGAATCAGAGAAACAAAAGAGAAGAGATGGTTAGAGTGGGGAGAGAGATGGATGCAGTTGTAGCCTCCGGTCAGGTGCTAAAACCTGAGTATGTGTAAAGATGAGAATGGAAGAAATTACTTGAGAAGACCAGTGACAGTAATATTAGTAATTCCCCTTTGTACGAAGTTTTTCTGTTTCTAGAGTGCTTTGTGGAGCTCATAAAATCCGTGAGCGTTAAGCACAGATAGAGGTTTTTGTCTCTCTTTTACTGATGAGAGTTCAAAAGCTCAGTAATGAGAGTCGCTCACCTAGGTCAGGTTCATGGGAGAGCCACAATTCCAAGTCAGGTCTTCTGACGATTGTCCTCATGCTTTCTCCCTTGTCAACCATGGATGTTGGCATGCTTTGGTGTTTGAGTGGTGGGAGAGCCATGTCAGCATCACCAACCACTGAACATGGCTCCACTATGGCCCACATCACAGGCACGTATATAAGTGGGCTCCGGCTGTCATTGTGCACTGTCATGAGATCAACAGTTGGAGGGGAAGCACCCGTTAAATTCCTGCTGGACACCCAGTCTTGGGGCCATGGGGCTATACTTCCTCTTCCCCATCATCTGTGTACGGTTTGTTCCCCTTCTTTTTACCTTCACAATATCTCAAATCTATTTTCTTGTCTAAATCCCCATGCTACTGTCCTAGTTTAGGTGTCCTCGTTTCTCACCTGAGCCATTGCAATAGCCCCTTAATGGGCATCTCCATGTCTAGTTTCTCTTCACACCCGTTCATTTTACACATACGAACAGTAATCTCTCTACCATACAGCTCTCCCCTTGTCATTAATTGCCCTTTTTAAAAACCTTCAGGAGTTCCCAGCCAGTTATGGAATGAGCTAAAACTTTAACTGGATTTCCAGTTTTATCTCCCCCTTTAAGCATCCTGGCTGCCAGCCGAGAAGTTATTTTCTAGTTACTTCTCATCTCTATAGCTTTTCTCATGGATTCCTTCTTCCTGGAAT